TACATATGGACCTTTCATAGTCACAACCCATGCCTTGGGCACATTTGCAAGCATGAAGACCTTCATCCTATTCTTCCAATAGTTATAATTAGTACCATCAAAGAAAGGAGGTTTAGTGGTAGACAAACCTTCAAGTGGTTGAGAAGATAGAAATTGAGCCATTCCCAATCAACTCCTAGGTGGTTAAACCTTCAAATTGGAGCCCTTGCTTTGATACCAATTGTTGACTCAATGTACTCCAAGAGGGGGGGTGAATTGGAGTTCTAAAAATTCTCCCCTTTTGCAACCACAACACCCAAATTAAAGAGAGTAGAGAAGAAGAGCTTGCTCAATGATTTATAGAGGTTCGGTCCAACCACTTGGAGCCTAGTCCTTTACCTTGGCTTCACTCACCAAGGATTTCCTCCACACTCTCCACTAACAACAACAAGGGTGGCTTAAAGGAGCCACTCAATCCTTTTACAACAAGATGAGTATTTCTCTCAAACCTCACCCCTTTACAATGTAAATTCCACAAATCCTCTCAATAGATCACTCTTGAAGGAATCAACACATCCCCAAGATCACTCACTAATGGCACAAGAAGAGGATTACAAGCAAAGATCTCTCAAAGATCAAAAACTCAAGTTAAAGGTCATGTAGGTAGGTATTCAATATAATACTCTCTAAACTTCTTCAGATCTATTACCAACCATATTTATAGCCCTTTACTTGGAAATAGCTGTTTCTAGCCATTGGGGGTCATTAAATGCTCTGCAGGACGCAAACCTTGAGCTATAGAATTGTCAGGAGAGCCGGCTTAACTTTATAGAGCCGACTCTGTAGAGCCAGCTTACACTTTCAGAGCCAGCTATCCGGGTTTGCAGCACATTCTGTTTTTCTCAAGAGCCGGCTACAAAACTTTGAGTCGACTTTGCAATTCCAACTTTAAATACATTAAATAATCTTCAAATGACTCGACCGTTGTGCATTAAATGCACCCTCACAGCTGGCTACAAAGCCATAGCCGACTTTGCGTCTTTTCTCCACGCGCGCCAAACAACGGTCTTCAAAATTTTTGCCTGTAGAGCCGGCTGCAGCTTCTAGAGCCGGCTCTCTACACTTCCATTTCACCAAAGCCCACTTCAGCTTTCAAGAGTCGGCTCTGTGCACATTTTGAATCCTTTTGTTCTATTTTTAGTGCAATCCAAGTTTACTTGCAATCTTTTAACAACTTAACTACACACTTAAATAAACCAATTAGTCACTCAAATATGTTTTGTAATCATCAAAATCATAGGTACAACAGATCCCACCCATAAGATTAGGCTCCGTTCATCTCCTTCACTACCTTTCCCAAAAACCCCTTTGTTTTAGAATTATACCTAGCTGAAGAAAGGAGCCACAGCAAAGCAATCTCCTATCGATTCTTCCAATGCCATCTAAAGCTAGAATCAACCCCTCCAAGAATGGTTTCTTGGTTCTCCTCTCGGAATCTTTTATACCTACCTCGCTTCAAAAGCTTAAAAAAATCCAAAAAATTGCCCCTCCAAAATCGCCTTAAAAATACTATACAAAGAACCAAACCCTAGATGGCCTAAATCAATCACCACCAATCATATTGAGATACCTAGCTTTTGCACAATTTGATAAGATCCTTTCTAGCCATGCAAGAACCGACCTCATATCAATATTGATAAGATGCCAAATTCGTCAAAGAACAGGTCAAGAATGAAGGCTATAGATTAGGAACTCATGTGGAAGTTGAACAAGTTTGAAATATTGAAGTTTTGCAGCTATTCGTGCTTAGTTGCCACTACCATCACCATTCAACAAATCAAGCTTTGTTATCAATTGATTCAACTATTGACTTGCCTCTAGGGACCACGAATTGGAAATTGAAGATGGAGAGAGAAATTGAAATGGAGAAGGGAAATCAAATATGAGAACGATTGACGGAGAAAAGAGTGAAAGGTAGAACTTGGTGGAAAGAAGGTGATTTGGAAGCCATAGAAGAATGTGATAATGACCAGAGAAGGAAAGAATATAGCTACTAGCGATGAATGGTTGAAGTAGAGGGAGAGCAATTTGTGCGTGGAGACTAATTATTTTTTAAGGTCATTTTTTGGCAATAAAAGGGGTATCTAATGAGAGAAATGAGGAATTTTGGGGAGTTTGGGATTGACTTTGGATTAAAGACTATGGACTACTTAAGATGGTTTGAGATGTAAATGGGCTAAGTTTCAAGCCTTTTGCATGATTTTTGTATTTTGGCCTCGAACTTTGAATTCCTTCCATTGAGTCTCCTTCTTGAATTTCTCTTTTCAATCTCTTCACAAATTTTTCTTCTTTGGCGCACACAGAACCTAAAACAAAATAAAATTAATTAGTTAAAGAAAAAAGAAAATTTCATATTTTTCTTTTTTTGTGTTTTGCTTTTGCATTTTAGAAACTTTTTAAGATTTTCTTGATAAATTTCAATTTTTATATTTTTTAATGAAAAACCCAAATAAACTAAATGAGAAATCGAGTTATGACAGTGATAACTTTGTCTAGCATTTGCATCTTTTGCCTAATCAAAACTTATCCATTAATAACAATCTCATCCAATAAATTATAGATGAAGATGTTTATAGATAAAGTTGTGAGATCCCTTAAATCACAATATATATTTTTATAAGGGTTTGTCTAACATGTGCCCTTGGGGCAATATTATTTACGGGTATGGTATTCCAAAGTATATAATTTATAGACAATGGCAAACCTTTTAGTAACAGTTTCATGGATAACTTGTGTACAAGATTCAAGTTTGCCCAGCATTTTTCCTCTTTGTATCAATATGGTATTCCAAAGTATATAACTTATAGATAATGACAAGCCTTTTAGTAACAGTTTCATGGGTTTGATTAACTTGTACCCTTAGGGCAATATCATTTACCAGTATGGTATTCCAAAGTATTTAATTTATAGATAATGGCAAGCCTTTTAATAATAGTCTCATGGATAAGTTGTGTACAAGATGCAAGTTTGCCCAGCATTTTTCCTCCATGCACAACGTTGCCATGAATGGACTAGCAAAAGCTTTCAATAAAACCCTTTGCAATCTGCTTAAGAAGGTTGTTTCAAAGTCTAAGTGAGACTGGCATGAAAGAATTAGTGAAGCACTTTTAGGCATATTGAACGACTCACCATACTCCAACAAAAGCAACTCCTTATTCCCTTGTGTATGGAGTTAAGGCTATCTTCCCTTTGGAATGCCAAATTCTATCTCTTGGGATTGCCATTCAAGATGGTCTTACTAATGAACAAAATGCTAAACTTTGCCTCCAAGAATTAGAACCCTTGGATGAGAAAAGGCTAGAAGCTCAACAACACTTAGAATGTTATCAAGCTAGATTGTTTAGGGCATTCAACAAAAAAGTCTGACCAAGGACATTTGAAGTTGGAGATGTAGTGTTAGTTGTTTGAAGGCCAATTGTCATCACTCATCATTCAAGGGGCAATTTTACTTCAAAATGGGATTGTCCTTATGTCATGATTGAAATTTACAGTAATAGTACTTACACATAGAAGATTACAAGTAAAGATCATTCAATGATAAAAAAAACCTCAAGTTAAAGCATAAGAATCACAAATTAGTATATGAGAGATATATAATGAAAAATGTTTGAAACTTGTTTCAAGATTGCTATTAATCATATTTATGTCCCTTAGTTGAAAATAGTCGTTTTTAGCCATTAAGGTTCATTTAATGTCTTATAGATCAGTTTAAGTCTGAGAAAACATGTTGCAAACTTTGTTAGAAGAGTCGAATATACCTTCAGAGTCGACTATGCACAGCCAGCTATCCTACTATGTCTGCGCTTTTTATTTTTTATTTTTTAATTTTTGCTAAGTCAGTTGCAAAACACAAAGTTGACTTAGGAAACCTGAGTTTAAAAATCTTTGAAAATTTTTGTCACGCCCCAAAACCCAAATCCGAGGGCATAACAAACGCCGTACACTTGTGAGACGAGTCCCACAAGTGCACAAGGCTCGAAACTTACTCAACAAAATCAGTTTTGATACCATAAAATTTCCAATTAAAATCTAACTTACAAGAGCATGGTATATATGTCTAGAATCTATGTCAAATCTCAAGTGGCTAGCCTTCTACCACATCACTCCCCTTGATTTTCGTGTCTCGGGTCACACTATCTAAAATGGTGGGCAAGGAAAAACGAGGTGAGATAACTCAGTAAGTAAATATGGATAGCTCATAATTAAACTCATAGTATGCCAACAAGTGTAATCAGAAAAACGGATACAGTATGGGAATGAAATAGACGTCTCCTCTATAGGTCATGGCTAGTGTTATAAACCTCCCACTGACAGGCACACAATTTACTAGTGTATAATCCCACTAGCAGGATAATAGAAACGAACCAATTTTATCAGTAACATGTCGACATGTGCTAGCATTTATAAACCTCCCACTAGCAGGCACACAAATAACATGACCATATCGGAGACAAAACAGGCAGAAGTTAACAGGAAAATCATAATTCACCAATCACTTTCAGATCATCAGGACAATCAATTAAATTTCAAGTAGGTATGCTCAATTTAATGAAAAGCATAAAAATTTCACTTCAAATCAATCATGCTTGTGTAAGACGGGTTTAGTCCCGCCACCATTTCAAAACCATCAAAAATTTGCTTTTAAAAGCTTTACCTTAAATCCAGGGCATTACCATAAGTTATTTACCTCACTCGCATAAAACCGAAGACTCAATCTCAGTACTAAACTGATAGAACGATTAGGAACCTAATCAAAACATCCAAGAATTAATACCCATACTTATAGACAAGAATGAAGGGACAGGGCTTTTATTCAATTATTGTCTCTGGCAAAACTGCCACTAACACACAGGATTTTCTACTCCAAATAATTAAAACTCAATGTATGAACAGCATGCGTGAATAGTACGCGTGAATAGTACGCGTGAACAGTAACTGATATTTCCATAATTCAATTGCAGCAAACTAAATTACCAGAAAAAGGATATTTCACCAGATTTTCAGAGCAGAACAGACTGAAAAAGAAGGGAAAAATAGTAGCAAAAGGCAGAAAAACGCAGCAGCAATTTGCAGAATTTTCTGCGTGAACAGTAGCTGCGCGCGTGAACAGTGAAATTTTGGCAAATCAGCAGGATTTTCCACACAGAACAGCAGCTAATTTCACGCCAAAAACAGGTTTATTTCTACATGAATTAAGCTAAAAAAAACACGTTTAAAATGCTGCCAAATTCTTCCATATTTTCGGCAGAAAATTCAATGTACAGGGCAGCAATTACACAGGTTAAATTCAACAATTATATGGGTGAAATTGGACTTAAAGGAAGTTGTCCATCATACTAGAAAATTCCGGCAAGCTGAAACCGGAGCTGGCGGTGTGGAGGGCTGGCAGGAATTGGAGAGAACTAACACAAAATTGAAGGAAAAAAAAAAAAGGAAACTAGAGTAACCCAACTTGAATCAAGGCTAAAGGGATGATTTCATGGTTAATTCATACCAGAAAATTGAAATTACACACCCATCGGCAAGAGCAGCTCGTGAACAGGGGAAGGGAGCAGCTGCAGATCTGAAAATTCCTTGGCTTTAGAGGGTGTTCTAGGCCCTAAATCTTGTTCTTGAACAAGAAAAGTGGAGAAAAATAGCAAGCTTTTGCCAATTCCTCAAGAGAGGATTGTCGGTAGCTTAGGGGGGCTTGTCGGGGAGAAAAAGAAGAAGAGCAGGTCGCGGGTTTGATGAGGAAGAAAAGAAAGAAAGAAAAAGAAAAAAAAAAACCAGCTGATCCTTATCTCATTTCTTTTCTTTTAAGTCCCTCAACTTTGAAATTTTTAGCTATTAGGCCCCAAAACAATATTTCCTTTCACAAAAGTCCTTACTTAATGCTAAAATATCACAAAATTTTGGAATATTACAATTTTAATCGTTGAACATTAAATGCGCCATCATAGCTAGTTGCAAAGTCATAGCAAGCTTTGCATCCATTTTCCACACGTGCTTAACTATAGGTTTGAACTTTTCACTTGTAGCTTCGGCTGAAGCTTTCATACTTGGCTTTCTGCATTTTTCTTCACTAGAGCTAACTTCAAAATTGTAGAGCTAGCTTTCTACATTTCTTTTGAGCTGGTTGCATAAAATCATAGCCGACTTTTTGCACCATTTTCAAAATTTTGATTCTTTTTTAGTGTAGTCTAAGTTCATTCACTCTTGCCAACTTTCAAGTCATAAACTACACACTTAGATAAACAAATTACTAATTCAAGTGTGTTTTATCAAAATCATAGGTACAACAATATCCTCCTTTTTGATGATGACAAAATACTTTGAAAATAATACTGTGAATATAAATTGATAAAAGCTCACATAATCCCCCTAAGTTTATGCTTACATTGCTTGACAAGCTTAAGCATCAAATACCAAGGCATTTTAAACTTTCAAGCAGCAAATTCATAAAAAGAGTCAAGTTTCAAGCCAAGCAAGCATGACAACATAAATCAAGCAAAAAATTTCAACCCATGTATAGTCCAAAAGTAATTAGAAATTTTAGCACATAAATAATCTAGAAATAACAGTCTAGCATAAAACTTTAGCAAACTTTCTACCCCTTTTTGTCTTTCATCAAAAAGCATATAAGCATAATCAAATAAGCTTCCCTCTAAAACATGCATATCAACCTTTAAATCACCAAAAATATGCAAGTCAAGCACAATATTGACTAACATATTGCTCCCCCTCAATGGAAACACTCAAGAACATAATCAACCAAGAGAAAATATTCAAAATCATAATTAATCATAAAGTCATATATCATCAAAATCCACAATTCATGATAATAAGTTAAAGAAATGTGTATAGATAATGAAGAACATAGAAATACTCATAAAAGAGTCAACTTTACAAGCAAACTAAAGTTAGCAATATGAAGTAGCATATGCCTATGATGTCTAGCCTAAAGATTAGCCAAAAGAGAAAAACATCAAGGTAGAAAGCATTAGATGGGGGCTGGAGGAAACAAGTGGTTAACAAATCAAGCTTTCCTTCTATGGAATTGATGCGTCTCCTCTTTTCATCTCGAAAATCATAAAAATTAGTGTGCAAGTGCTTTAACTCATTAATCATAAGCTCTAATGTTTCCCATTGAGTTCTTTGCATTGAGATTTGAATGTTCGGGCATGGAAGAATATTGAGGTATTTGAGAGTGTGGATGGTGGGTATGGAAGAACTTAGGCAAATCTAGTGACATTTGTGTGTTTAGGAAAAGAGCTGACTTGGTATATGCAAAAAGAGAAGGTAGATCACCTAAAAATTACCCAAAAGAGTCGACTATAAGAGCAAAGTTGGCTTTGATGCCTAATCAAGTTGGGTTTTTAGGATTTTGATCAAGGATCCACCTATATCAAAAACCGAAGAGTTGGTTGTGGCTTGAAAGCTAGCTCAAAAATTACAAAGTGGGACTTTCTGTTTTTTTAGCAAAGCCAGCTATGAAAAGTTGTTGCCAACTATATTGGGCTGCATAGGTAGAAAAGAAAGTTTTGGGACTGTTTTGAAGGAAATGCAACTAATTTGATCTTTCCTCACTTAACTAAGTTTAAGTTGGACATCTACTTCTAAATCATGTAATTATAGACATATATCAATGTGTATGTTATGTTTTAAGCATCAAAAATCAATAATCCTTATATCAAGATATTCAAGCAACATGACTATACAATCAAAACATAGACATCAAACTCATTAATTTGAATAAATTTCAAGAAGTAATCACATCAAATGCAAAGACCATATCAAGCATTAGGATCCAACCTTCCAAGTTCATTTCTAATAAAGAAAAATATCTCATGATCAAGAGGTTTTGTACTAATTAATTTCTATTATTAACAAATAATAAATCAATATCACCATTAACAACATGATCCCTAATAAAATGATACCTAATTTCTGTGCGCTTTGTGTGAGAATGTTGGATGGGATTCTTAGTGAGATTGATAGCACTTGTATTGTCACATTTAATGGGAATATGATCCATGGTAATGCCAAAATAGAAAAACTGTTGTTTCATCCTCAACACTTGAGTGCAACAACTTATGACAGCTATATATTCGACCTTGGTTTTGGATAGAGCAACACTATTTTGCTTTTTGGAAGACCATGATATAAGTATATTACCAAACAATTAACAAGTTCCAATTGTACTTTTTCTAGGGTTAAATGCTATTTTTCATCAATTGAACTTTTTTTTGCACTTTTTTGATCCCTTTAACTATGAAAAATGCACTTTTTTAGTCTTTCGTCAGTTATCCTATTAAGTTTATATATCTAAATCTGTACATTTCTAGTCTTTTAACTTTAAGTTGAGGGATGAAAAATGTGCAAGTTGAGGGACTAAAAATGTGCAAATTCAGATAGACTTAACGGATTAATCGATGGAATGACTAAAAAAGTGCATTTTTCATCGTTAAGGGATAAAAAAAGTGCAAAAAAAAGTTGAAGGATGAAAATTATGCAAAACCTTAAAGTTGAGGGACCAAAATTGACATTTAACCTTTTTCTAGCAATTCTACACCCCACATAATTGGCATCTAAATATAAATGTAAGTCTAACGAAGAACCCTTAGGATAGCATAAACCAAGGTTAGGAGTATCCCTTAGATATCTAAAGACTTTTTTAAAAAAGTGTGACTCCTTAGGATAAGCTTGAAATCTAACATACAAACAAACACTAAACATTGTGTTCGATCTACTTGTGGTTAATAAAGTAAGGAACCAATCATGCCTCTATAAAGCTTGGAATCAATAGGCTTACCTTCTTCATCATTGTCAATATTAATTGAAGTGTTCATAGGAGTAGCTATTAGCTTACTAAGCTTCATAGCAAACTTCTTAAGCATCTCTTTTGTATATTTGCTTTGGTTGATGAAGATGCATTCTTCAAATTATTTGATTTGAATCCCCAAGAAAAAGTTAAGCTCACCCATCATGCTCGTCTCTAATTCACCTTGTATAACTTTGGAAAACTCTAGACAAAGAGAATCATTGGTAGAACCAAATACAATATCATCAACATAGATTTGGACAATTAGTATGTCTTGGCCATTGGTTTTCACAAACAAAGTAGTATCAACTCTTCCTCTAAAAAACCATTTGCAAGTAAAAAAACTACTCAATCTTTCATACTAGGTTCTAGGAGCTTGTTTCAAACCATATAAAGCTTTTGAGAGTTTATAAACATGGTTTGGGTAAAATGAATCTTCAAAATTGGGTGGTTTAGTTCCAATGATGGGATGGTCTTTAGGTCTAAAAACAAGATTCCAAACCTTATTTCTTTCAAATTGAGTTAATTCCTCTTGTATAGCCATCACCCAATTAGAGTCATTTAAACTATCATCAAGATTCTTTAGTTCAATTTGAGATATAAAAGAAACAGAAACACAAGTATTATAAACATGAGATCTAATAGTTACCCCTTTTGATGGATTCCCAATGATTTCATTCCCTTTGACATAGGATCTCTCTCTTGGGAAAGTTGGTTCTTTTTGCTCATGTGTTTGTTGCTCTTCTTCATTTTTATTCTCCTCATTTGTCTTATTTTAAGCTTCCTTGGTGTTGTTCTCCTTGAGATTCATATCTTTTATTTATACTCTAATAGCATCTATGTTGTCATCATCAAAACACTTTCTAGAGCAAGTGGGGTTAGTTTTATCAAATACAACATAAATTAATTTCTCAACAACTTTAGTATGTTTATTATACATACGATAAGCTTTACTAGAGGTGGAGTATCCAAGAAAGATGCTTTCATCACTTTTAAAATCAAATTTTCCAAGAGAATCATTTCTATTCTTCAAAACAAAACATTTGCAATCAAAAGCTATAAAGTAGGAAATCTTGGGTTTTCTTCCTTTGTAAATCTCATAGGGGATTTTCTTAAGAATAGGCATCACCATAACTCTATTCAACAAATAACAAGAGGTTGAAGTGGCTTCGACTTAAAAGGATTTTGGCAAATCATTCCCATAAATCATAGTCCTTGCCATTTCTTTAATGATACGATTTTTTTGTTCAACCACCCCATTTTGTTGAAGAGTTTTAGGGGTGGAAAAGTTATGACCAATACCATGTTCAATGCAAAAATCTTCAAAATCATTATTTTCAAATTCCTTCCCCCCTAATCTCTATTAATATAAATAATAGGTAAATCCTTCTCTTTTTGAAGCTTTTTATAAAGACTTTTGAAAGCATCAAGTGCATCTTTCTTATGTGCAAGGAAAGCTACCCAAGTAAATTTAGAGTAGTAATCAACCACAACAAGCACATATAATTTCCCTCCAATGCTTAAAGTGTTCATAAGTCCAAACAAATGCATATGAAGTAACTTAAGTGGTTTGTTTGTAGATATGCACTTATTAGCCTTAAAGGAAACCCTAGTTTGCTTACCCTTCATGCATGCATTGCACACACACCATCAATATTCACATTCATCTTAGGCAAACCATCAAGAAGATCATGCTTTAACAACTTAGAAATAACACTTATTCTAGCATATCCTAATCTTCTATACCACAACCAAGTATTATCATGAGACATGGAAACAAGACAAACATTAGTATCTATGTCATGCAAATCAATCACATACACATTCTTAAGCCTCTTACCAACAAACAACACTCTATCTTCTCTAGATTCAATAATCTTGTAATGAGATTTGGAAAACACAACACTAAGCATATGATCACATAATTAATTAATACTAAGTAAGTTATGTTTCAATCCATCCACATACCAAATATCATCAAAAGTAACAGATTTGTTACCAATTTTACCATATCCTTTCACAATTCCTTTCTCAGTGTCACCAAAGGTCATGGTTCCTCCATCCAAAGGCATAAGTGATGAGAATTGTGAAAGATCACCCATCATGTGCCTTGAGCACCCACTATCTAGATACCATTTATTCTTCATTTTGTTCAAAAGGCACACTTACACAACAAAAATCAATTTTTGATCTTAGGTTCCCAAATTTGCTTGGGTCCTTTGGAGTTAGTGCTTATAGTTCTTTTTTGGAACCCAAATTTGCTTCACTTTGCCTTGAGCTATCAATCTCTTCAAAAGACATACAAAGTGTCCTTTTGCACCACAACAAGAACAAGTAGCTTTAGGATTAGAGAATTGACTTGCCTTTATAAATAAGTTCTTAAAAGACTTTTGCTTTTTAGAATAATTAAATCCAATGTCCCCTTTGTCAAATACACCTTTTTGAGAACTCAAGATAGAATCAAATTTTTCCTTACTCAAAGTGAATTTGGATGTCACATTCTCAAGTTCACAAACTTTCTTTTTCAAAACATTATTAGATTCTTCATCCTCCAAAGATGCAATGTCAATATTTAAGGAGGTATTCTCTTTAACTAAAACCTCATTTTGTTTTGAAAGAGATTCAATCTCATTTTTAAGCAAAGAAATAGTTTTAGTAAGAGCAAGATTCTCATTCCCTAATTTCTTGATATCATTCATAGAGCATTCAAAAACTTTGCATAAATCATCATAGGAATACTCAAAAGAACTTCAATTAATTCAACTAGAGAAGTTAGAGTTTACCTCCTCATCATTGTTGTTATCCTCTTAAGCTATGAAGCAAAGATTTGCAACATCATTCTTAAAGGAGCTCTCACTTTTCATTGAGCTAGTCTCACCATCATTCCATGTGGCCACAAAAGCTTTCTTCTTCATACCTATCTTGTCTTTCTTCTTTCCCTTCTTTAATGGAGGACATTCATTTCTATTATGCCCCATCTTGTTGCATTCATAAGACTTTACATTCTTTTTGCTAGACTTTCCTTCATCCTTTTTTGTAAGTCTACTTTTGAAGTTCTTCTTCTTCATGAATCTTCTCACTTCTCTAGAGACGAGGGTGGAGATGTCTTCATCATCACTAGCATCATCTTTGCTTTCTTCTTTTTGTTTACTAGCCTTGAATGCAACATTCTTTTTCTTCTCAACCACCTCAACTTCATCATCATGTTGGATATCAATCTCATATGTCATCAAGGATCCAATAAGTGCATCAAGCTTAAGAGTGTTGATATTTTAGCCTTTTTAATTACAGTCTTCTTGGCTTCTTAATTCTTAGGCAAGCTTCTAATGATCTTCGTCACCAATTCTTTAGTAGGATATACCTTTCTAAGCGCTTTGAGATTGGTGACTGTATCATTGAACCTTGTGTACATATCTCCAATGTTCTCGTTTGGCTTCATGTTAAAGAGCTCAAACATGTGAATAAGTCTATTGATTTTTGGCTCCTTCACTTGATTCATCCTTTCACATGTTATCTCCAACATGTCCAAAATCTCCTTAGTTGTATCAAACCTAGATGTTCTATTAAATTCTGTTGGATTGAGAGCACATTGAAGTATGTTGATTGCTTTATTGTTGATCTTGATCTTCTTCAAGTCCTCATTAGTCCATTCAATTTCTTCTTTTGGCACCTTAATATCTCTAACAACTTTTATAGGCACATATGAACCATTCATAGTCACAAGCCATGCCTTAGGTTCATTAGCAAGCATAAACACCTTGATCCTATTCTTCCAATAATTATAGTTAGAACCATCAAAGAAATAAGGCTTGGTGGTAGACAAACTTTCAAGAGTGCATTAGCTTGAAATTGAGCCATCCTTAATCAACTCCTAGGTGGTTAAACCTTCAAATTGGAGTCTTTGCTTTGATACCAATTGCTGGCTCAATGCACTCCAAGAAAGGGTGAATTGAAGTTTCACAAAATTCTTCCTTGTTGCAACCACAAAGTAAAAATAAAAATAAAAATAAAAAGTAGAGAAAAGAAGCTTCCACAAAGATTTAATAAAGGTTTAGTCCAACCACTTGGCACCTAGTCCTTTACCCTAACTTCACTCACCAAGAATTTCCTCCACACTCTTCACTAACGAGAACAAGGGTGGCTTAAAAGAGCCACTCAATCCCTTTACAAGAAAATGAGTTTTCTCACAAATCTCACCCTTTTACAAGATAAAGCTAACAATTCTTACTACAAATCACTCTTGAAGGAATAATCACACCACCAAGATAACTCTCAAAGAAAATAAGTAGAGGATTACAAATAAAGATCACTCAATGATAAAAAATCTCAAGTCAAAGCATAAGAATCAAAAATTGGTATATGAGAGATATACAACGAAAAGTGGCTAAAACTTGTTTCAAGACTTCTACTAATCATATTTATACCCCATTGGTAAAAAATTAGTGGCTTCTAGCCGTTGGGGTTCTTTTGATGTCCTGTAGATTAGTTTAAGTCCTAGAAAACACATTGCAGACTTTGTTAGTAAAGCTGGCTATACCTTTAGAGCCAGCTATCTTGCTACATCTACACTTTTTGTTTTTTTATTGAGTTAGCTGCAAAACACAAAACTGGCTTATGAAACCGAAGTTCAAAAGATTAAAAAATCTTTGAAATTTTTGATTGTTGAACATTAAATGTGCCATCATAGCTGGTTGTAAAGACATACCTAGGTTTGCGTTCATTTTTCACACGCACTAAATTGCAAGTTTGAACTTTTAACCTTTAAAGTTGGCTACAATTTTCATGCCTAGCTTTTTGCATTTTCTTCATTAGAGCTGACTACAGAATCATAGAGCTGACTCTTTACACTTCATCTCAATTTCTACATTTCTTCAAAGCTGGTTTCAAAAATCATAGTCAACTTTCTACATATTTTCAGCATTTTGGTTCTTTTTCAGTGCAGTCCAAGTTCATTCACTCTTGCTAACTTTTAAATCATAAACTACACACTTAGATAAACAAATTAATAATCCAAGTGTGTTTTGGAATCATCAAAATCATAGGTACAATAAAAAATGTGTTGTTATTCACTTGCGTTAAAGATAACCAAAAGTAATAAAGATCTTACACTTCATGACCATAAGGCAATTTTACGTGCCTTTCTAGAAGTCGTTATTGAAATCCATGCTGTGAAGCAAATCAGTGAAGATTGTAAGACTTCTTGGTGAACCGGCCTTTTTGGCGAAGCACCACATAACCTGCTTTAATGTTCACTATAAAATCCAAAGTGTTAACTCGTCGTTGCCCATCATCAACTCGAGGTTTGGAATGGGTTGGCAGGGGCACTAGAGTCTAATAAAAGTCATTTGAGGATAGATCGCCTTGTAAAACTGCATGACAATCTATTACTTCTAACTCCCAAGGTTGATATGCATTTAAAACCCCATGAAACTATCTAACCATAGGAAAGGAAGCTACATATCTTGCTACAAAAGTCTTGCAAAGGAAATGTAGACCAATCCAAGCATATAAATAATGTCCAAGAGAATGAGGACTCTTAGTTGCATGCATCCATGAACTTTCAAGCATTTTCATAAGTTGTTGAAGTCAATGATAGATGCATGCCAAGATATGAAGAACAAGGCTGGTGGTAACTCCAATTGCCATTTATGCTGTGGCTTTGAAAGTTCCAACTCTAACAAATTTGCTAAGCCAAACACAAAGATAGGCAGCAATTAAAACTTTTTCTTTATCATTTACCTCCAAAGGAACACAAATATGCCAAGTCGATCCCATTATTTTAGTACAATAGTTAGTTTCTTCTAAGTCCATATGTCCACTTTAATAGGCGGTCAAGTTTAAGAGCTGAAATCAAATTCCCTTTTCCATCATACCTTAACTTCGACATATCTAGATGTTGTCTGCTATCTAGTGGATTTGCATATGATGAGTTACAACTGTGCCAGAAATCCAGCCAATCAACATATGTTACATGGTTAGAATTCTTACTTTGGATAATTATGGTGAAAGCTTTGAACAAAAGTAGGCAATAAGGTGATAAATTCCCTGTAAGTTCCTTATAGTTAGAAACCACCTCTTCATAGTATGCTCCTCAAATTGAGATGCCCAAAATGTCTGCATTTCTAAAAGAGAAATTTTAATCTTTCCTACATAAGTAAAAAATGTATTAGTGTTGGAAGACCATACCTCAATAAGGGCATGATCATGTTGGAAGGACAACAATAGTCATTTTTTGCTAATGACACTACATTTGCTAAGGCTCCCATCTTGTAATGACTTAGCATCCTGGCTGTATAGTTTGACCAATCCCAGAAGCCACTTAGGAATGATACCTTTTCTACGTGATCAATGGACGGACACCATTTGCTTTCTTCTTAGACAATTAACTATGTCACAACTACAGTTGGTATTGCATGTTCTGTCACATGGTTTGGGCACTAAAGACTGAAGAGATCCAACGTTACTCGCAGCTGATGAAACTTCTGCTTCCAAGGTCATGTACTCACAAAGCTTAGGCATCTCTAATGAAGGTAGGTGAGAAAGTCCTTTGATGGCATAGGGACTATTGGTTGACTCAAGCACCACAAGTTAAAGCTCTTTAGCCTCCAATGAAGAAGATGACCGCACGTGAATTAATGGGAAGCGTAAGAATTGTCTGGCCTTTTCGACGTCTGACAAATCAGCAATCCAATCAACTTTCAAGACCTTAGTGGTGGAAATCATCTTAGAAGCAAGTCTTTGATTAATAGCCATGCTTGAAAAAACCAAAGTTGCACACATAAGACTAAATTATTCATGCTAAAGTTGGAGGATTAAACAATATCGGGCACTTCAGAAAAAAGATGGTTACTTGGATGGTACGAGATGGATGCAGTTCAAAGGGAAACATCAACAAGAATTTCAAGGACCATAGTTTGCTCACAAAGCTTCAATTCAAAAAAAGTCATAAACTACAACAAAAAAATACTCTTGCAAGTTAATTTTCCATGTCTAATTCAAAATTTTCAAAAAAAAAAAAGCTGCTAGCTTCCTTACCCAAACATGTTGGTCCAGTTAGTTTGGTCTAGTAAAATAAAAGGAAAAGCAGAGGCTCTTTATGCGACATGCAAATACATGATAAAATCAGATGCTGCTACAATAAGACGATAAAACCCAAGCAAGCAAGCACAACATAAAAGACAAAAGAAAGTATGGCATTAAAAAAAAAAAAAAAAGCGCCTAACAAAGGGAACACATGATGGCTTTTCTATTTATGTAATGCCATGCTTGATGTCATCATCTATTTCAAGTCAAAAAGTGCACTATGCAGAGACAAAGTAAAATTTATAGAAACAAAAATTTAAGTACAGCAAGACAGCAAAACTAGGTAGCCAAAGAAATTGAAACAAGAAATGGCAGTTATGGTCAAATGAAAATATCTATATCATAGATTATTCATGATTTTCACATCTCTTACTCATGTAGCCTAAAAACTGCAGCAGCTTATCACGTGTCATGTTCATGGTGCATTGGTAAAAAAGCAGTATGTGCACACAAAAATAACATGATTTTTGAATCATGTGAAAGACATTTCATAAAGACAACGAAGCACTATGGCAATTTTAAAGCTAAGTGAAGGGCATAGTTGGTTACTTGATTGAAGCTACTGTCAAACAACGGACAAGGCTGCTGCAATTTGAAGGATACTGCTGCTCTGGTGGGCGATGGCTATTGCTCCGGTGGGTGGATCGATGCTGCCCCAGGCATCAAATTGCTTCAAAAAAAGAAAAAAATGAAGGCCGAACCTCCTGCCCAAATTAGAGAATGTCGTCGCTGCTGCTACACTGTGAGGGAGGGAAAAGGCTCAAGCTTTTCCCCTGTGGATGAGTGCTGCTACTGCACCATGAAGGAGGGAAAAGCCTGAAGCTGCTTCTGTAAATGAGTGCTGCTGCCACTGTGATCGAAGCTACTATTGCTGTGACTTTGCTCCCTAGAAGCGTCTATTTATAGAGGGGAGGGCAGAGTTTAGATGAGAACAAATATGAATTTTAATTTTAAATTTAATTTGCTAAAGCTATTTGAAACTCAAATTGGGTAAGCAGTTGAAAAAAAAATAATTAAGCATGGATTTTTTGTTGATGTAGATGTAGGGGATGAAGTTTGAATAACAGAGGAGTTAAGTCCGTTGGAAACGAACTTCAAAAAAATAAATAATAAATAAAAGAATTCCGGCGATCGGACCAAAAAAGTGGGACGGGGAAAAAAGTCCGTAAGAGGGCTTAAAAAAAATAGGGTTCCAAAATGGATTAGCCCATTAAAAAACAGCTCAAAAAAAAAAAAAAAAAAAGAAAGAAAAAAAATAGCCCAAAAAGAAAACGAGGGCTATGAAGAGAGGTGATTGTTTCTTTAGAATTTCATTGATTCTTTTGAGTGGTGTATATTAGAATTAATTTATTTTTTATATAAACTAATATAAGTAGATTAATTTTGATGGGGCATTTGTAGTAGTGTTTTTAGAATTGGATTGAGTCGGTCAATTTGACCAGTCCGATCGCCACTCGGGTGCTGAAATTGGCTGGGTGGATACACGGGCCCGTTTTGACAGCTCAACCATCCAAACCCGGTAAACTCGCACAACCCTTCCCGCTCGACAAACTCGGTAAACCCGCCGGGTGAATCTCACGCTACAGCTTTCCTTCTTTTTTTTCTTTTCACTGTCGAGGTCTTATATTCTCAGCTCAACTCTCAACTCTCAACTCTTCAACTCTCAAATCTTTACCACTTTTCCACGACAAAACAAAATCCATCCTCCAGTCTTCATCATCCATCGGTTCTCCTTCTCCACTCTCTAGTCCAATTGCCATCATTTTTTCAACAAAGAATAAAGGTTAAATCCCTGGTTCAATCCCTCAACTTTCATTTTTGAACTAAATTTACCCTCAAACTTCAAAAAGTACTAAAAAAATCCCTGAACTTCAATTTTTGAGACCAATTTTGTCCTTCTATCAGTTAAGTGCTGATGTGGTGAAATTCTCCGTTAAGAAATTCAATTTCTATTAATATTGAATATTACCTGGAAATAAAATAAGTGACACGGTATCTTTTAATTATAAAAATATTATGACATAGCAACATGAATATAATTTAATAAATAAAAATTTCTTTCCTTTTTTTTTTTTCTTCTCTTTCCTTTCCCCTTCCCCTCCTTACTAGGTTCGAAGGAACCTAGGCGCTGGGTTCCTGGGTTCGAAGGAACCCGTGACTGGGTTCGAGTCAAACCTGCCTGGGTTTTTTCTTCTGTTTCTTTGTTCTTCTGTTTCTTTGTTGGCTGCAGTCATGATTGGCTATCTTAGTATGGGATTTAGAGTTTTGCGTGGCTTCTACTTGCTTGAATTTCAAGATCTAGCTACTGTTGATGTTGATTGAAGGGATGTTATGTTTTTTACATTTTCCTTTTCTTTTGCAGATTTGGTATAAGTTTGCAATATGATTGATTTGTTGAATCTTTACAGATCTAGTATAAGTTTGTAGTGTCATTGATTTTTTGAATCAAATCTATTGGCCATTATTACTGTGCGAGGAACCAGATTTGGGTTCCATTAGAGAGGAGGTTTGGGGAAGAAGGAAATGGTGATTGGAGTGGTAAGGGATGACCGGAGCAATGAGGGATGATCGGTGCTGATTAGGTTGCAAGATGAAGAGACATCTGAGGATAGAGAAAGATGAGAAGGGATAAAAAGAGGGGATGGAAGATGAAGATGGGGGTATTTAAGGAATTTTAAATTTTTTAATATATAAATTAATTAAAATGATGTGGACAATAAAAATACTATAGTGAGTTAAGTTATTTTTCATGTAATTAAATATTTTAAACAAGAATTGATTTTGTGGCAACTTAACGTGCCATCTGGCATGTCCGTCAACGGAAGGACGAAATTGGTCTCAAAAATTGAAGTTTAAGGATTTTTTTAGTACTTTTTGAAGTTCAAGGGTAAATTTAGTTCAAAAATGAAAGTTGAGGGACTAAACCGAGGATTTAACCAAGAAGAAACCACAAGACAGCAGATCGCGCAGCAAATTGGTGTTCATCACGTCTCCAAATTGAGCAGTAGATCAGTATCCAATAGTAGATCGGCATCCAGCAACAGATCGACATCCAATAGACAGCAGCAAATCGTTTTGGAAAGAGAAAGCCTTTCTCCTCCACCATGCCTTCATTCACCAGCCTTCATCCACCGGCCTTCACAGTCAATTCAAGGAGTTTGCTACTGTAAATATTCTTTTCCTTCCTCGGTTCCTCCTCAACAGTTAATCACACCTCCATTTCTTCTTTCTGCCGGGAAGCTCATTGGTTTTCAATTTCTCAGTACTTTGTTGTAGAATTTTAAGAAATCCTTAGTGTATCTAGTTGGGCAATGCTCCTGCAATCTTTTTTTCCACTGAAATAGAAATCAATTTTTTTTCTTTTTTAACATATTCAAGATGTTTGATTAATTGCTTCAGTGAAAGTGTGAAATAGTGTATTCTACATGTTATAATTATGAGATGAAAATTTCTTTAGTTGATTTACTTTGCTTGAATATATCATATTTCTCTATTTAGCATTAAGCCATCGACCCATGTTATAATTTTTTTTTTTAGAGTTTATAGTGTACCTGTAGGGATTACTTGAGAATTGAGATATCCATAGATTTTAGAGGGTTTGTTTTACTATTTAATTGATGCTATTGGTGTAGTCTAATTCATAACATTGTGTATTTTTATCAAGTTGTGTCATTGATCAAAGTCATCAAAATTGAATATATTCTGTCAATTTTGAATATCTAGATTCTTTTATTTGTTGTGAAATTGCAAAAATATCATTCTCTGGACAAAATTCAACTGTTGCGTCTTCCCAATCTTCAAGAGCTAAAACAGATGCAGCATGTGAGCATTGTGTTGAAGTTATAGAAGGCACAAAAAAATCAATTAAATGTTTGCATTGCCAAAAGATATTTAGAGGAGGAGGCATTAATAGAATAAAACAACATCTTGCTAGAAAGGGAGGAGATGTTAGAAAGTGTGATAAGGTGTCATTTGATGTTCGTTATCGGATGCAACAGAGTTTGAAGGAAATTGAAGAAAGTAAGAAGCAAGAAAAAAATATATGGGAAGATAATAATCCATTTGGACATTTTGATGGAGATGCATCAAACTTGCAAGAGATTCCAAATCTCTCTTCAGCTCCACAATCTCAAGTTAAAGGGAAGGGGTTAGGAATTTCAACAAATAAGGATAGAAAAAGGAAGGCAAGTGGGATACAAAGTTTTTTTGCCCCAAGAACTACTGTTGGAGCTCAGCCATCAATTAGAAGTGCCTTGGTAGGTAAAGATGTTGTCCATAATGCTGACTTGGCAATTGCTAGGTTCTTTTTTGATACTTGTCTACCCATAAATGCTATCAACTTCCCTTACTTTCAGCCTATGCTTGATGCTATTGCTGCAATTGGTTCTGGTTATAGGGCACCAAGTTATCATGTCATGAGAAGTAATCTATTGCATCATTTAAAACAAGAGGTCCAATTGTTAGTTAATTCTTGTCGAAATATTTGGGCAAGAACTAATTGTACTATTATGGGTGACAGTTGGCAAAATCAGAAAAATAGGCAATTAATTAATTTTCTTGTCTATTGTCTTAGAGGAATCACTTTTGTAAAATCTGTTGATGCCTCTAATGTTGTTCAAGATGCTTCTATGCTTTGCAATTTGTTTAGGGAATTGGTTGAGTTTATGGGTTCTAATAATGTGGTGCACTTAGTGACTAATAATCCAACTAATTATAAAAAAGCTGAGAGATTGTTAAATGACATTTATCCTACAATCTTTTAGTCTTCTTGTGCTGCACATTGTTTGAACTTGATTTTGAGTGATATTGGGAAGTTGGAGGTTGTTAATAATCTTGCAAGTCATGCATCTTTGGTATCTAAATTTATATACAATCATCCTTTCTTGTTGGCTTGGCTATGAAAAAGGGAAGGATGAACATAAATTATACGTTCTAGGCCAACATGTTTTGCAACAACATTCATTGCATTGAAAAGCATTTATGAGCATAGGCATGACTTACAAGCATTAGTGACTAGTCTAGAATTTAAAGACTTTAGATACTACAAAGATCATAAGGAAAATGATGTTGTGGCTGTTGTTCTAGATAAAAAATTTTGGAATAATTGTGAGCTTGTAGTGAAAATTGTGGGGCCACTTATTCGTTTGCTTAGAATTGTGGATAGTGATGAGATGCCTTCACTTGGATATGTCTATGATGGCATGTATTGTCATGCCCCAGAACCCAAATCCGGGGACGTGGCAAACGCCGTACACTTGTGAGAGGGTCTCACAAATGCACAAGGCTCAGAACTTATCATACCATACTCTAATACCACAAAATCTGAAGATAAAAATTTAAAATTTGCTCTGATATCATAAAATCTCCAAATAAAGTCTATATTACAAGATCATGATTTATATCTAAAATTTATGTTCAATTTATAAGATGACTAGCCTTCTAACTCGTCACTCCCCTCATTTTTCCCCATTCTTGACTTCGCTTCCTAAAATGGTGGACAAGGAAAAACTATGAGATAACTTAGTAAGTAAATATGGGTAGCCAGCAAGTAAAATTTTAGCATGCCTGATAAACAGTTTAACATAACAAAACGTTTAATGATAAACCGTTAATGCAGAATCAGATTCAGTTTAATAAACAAGCGTTCAATGACAAACCATTAATGCAGAAGAAAATTCAGTAGTAGTTTCATCTATAGGTCATGGCCAGCGTTTATAAACCTCCCACTGGCAGGCACAGTAGTAACCAATGTTTTATCCCATTGATAGGATTACAGAATGAACCAGTCTTATCAGTAAACATGTCGACATGTGTTAGCGTTTATAAACCTCCCACTAGCGGGCACAGTAATACATGACCATATCAGAGACAAAACCATGCAGGATTTACAAAAGAAATCCGTAATTCATAATCAATCTCAAATTTCAAAAATAAACCGAAAAATTTTCCATGTGAGCATGGAATTAACAGAAAAATCAGAATTTACCAAATTCTCAGTTCATTAGGGCAATTCAATCAATTTCAAGTAGGCATGCTCTACTTAATGCAAATAAAAACAATTTCATTTCAAACCAATCATGCTCGGTGCTATTAAAATCAAGTTAAAATCAATTTAAACCTTGTCACCATCTCAAAAACAATTTAAAACATGCTTTGAAATCGAAAGGTGTTACCATAATTTACTTACCTCACTCGCATAAACCGAGGACTCAATCCCAGTGCTTTAAGCCATAATAGCACTTAATATTCCAAATAAATACATTTAGACTTTGCTAGAATTATTAGCACAATTTTGCAAATCTCCTAACCAATGAGCTTCACACGAAATTCAACCATATGACCAAACATCTCAATTTCATTCTCAGTATAACTAACATTTAAACCCTCCTATTGTTGGCCATTAATGTGTGAACAGTACTCATAAACAGTAACTGCAACTTCCAAAAATTAGCGAAACCATAACTAATCTCACGGGATTTCTCTCCAAAATCTCGCAGCAGTCAACTCAAGCAATTTATACATGAATTAAGCTTAATTATACTCTAATTACTACCGAAATTCATCCCCATTTTTTAGCAAAATTCGGACAGCACAGGGCAGCAAATAAATGGACAAAATTCAGCAACTAATTGATGAAATTTCGGGCTTGGAGGAGTTGTCAACATTCCAGAATTTTTCCAGCTGCAAAACCGGACCTAGTGAGTGGAGAAGCCAATGGCAATTCTGTAGGGGACTCACGAAATTAACCCAAAATTGAAGGAACAACAGATTTAAAATGAACCCAAGCTAAATCAAGCTGAAAAGATGACGTTCATGGTTGTGGCTTACCGAAAAAAGCCTAGAAATTCGTGCCTAGCAGCACCAACGGATAGGGAGGAAGAGCAGAGCAGATCTAAAATTTTGCAGAGGGGGGAGGGAGTTTCCAAGCTTAAATCTGGTTCTTGAACAAGAAAAGGAAGGAAAATATCAAGTTTTTCTTACCGGTTCTCAAGGGGAGGTGCTGTTGGGCTTGGGGCTCTTGTTCGGTGCAAGGGAGAAGAAAAAGAAGAGCAGATGCACGGGTGGGGAAGAAGAAAGAAGGAAAAGAATAGTTGATCCTTATCCAAATTTTTTTTTCTTTTAAGTTCCTCAAGTTTTAAAATTTTGGCTATTAAGTCCCAGAATAATATTTCCTCACAATCAAGTCCTTAACTAAGTACTAAAATATCACAAAATTTTGGGATATTACATGTATAGAGCTTTAAAGGCTATTAAGACTATATTGATGAATAGGAAGTCTTTGTATAAGCCTTACACAAGAATTATCAAAGAAAGGGGGGATAGGCAATGTAATATCTCAAAATTTTGTGATATTTTAGCACTTAGTTAAGGACTTGATTGTGAGGAAATATTGTTTGGGGCCTAATAGTGAAAATTTTGAAACTTGAGGGACTTAGAAGAGGAAAGAATTTGGATAAGGATCAGCTATTTTTTTTCCTTCTTTCTTTCTTCTTCAGCCCGATTCTGTTCATTCTTTTTCTCCCTTGCACCGAACAAAAGCCCCCAAGCTGTTGACAGCCCTCCCTTGAAAAAAACCGGTAAGAAGCTTGGTTTTTTCCTTTCTTTTCTTGTTCAAGAACAAGATTTAGGAGCTTGAAATCTTTCCCTTTTACAGAAAATCCCGGATCTGCTCTGCTCCTTCCTTCCTTCCGTCGGCTGCTCTTGCTTGTAGGTGTGATTTTTTCGGTTCTGGTAAGGGGAAATAGCCATTAATTTCTCTTTTCTTCCTTGAATTGGCTTGGGTTTACTCTAAATCCTCTTGGTTTCTCCCAATTTTCAGTAGATTTCTTGATTTTTCCCCTGCACTTCCGTCGGCCTTCCCCCAAACTGCAGCTCCGGTTTGTTTGCTTGCAAATTTTGATATGTGACAACCCTTTAAACCTAAAATTATGCATTAGTTGCTGAATTTGGTCCAGTTGATTGCTGCCCTATGTTGTCTGAATTTTCGCTAAAATGGGGGATGAATTCCGGTAGCTTTAGGACAAAATTTAAGCATTAATTCAAGTGGGATTTATGTGATTGAGTGTTAATTGACTACTGTGAGATTTTGGAGAAAAATCCCGTGAGATTAGCTATGGTTTTGCCGATTTCTGGAAGTTGCAGTTATTGTTCATTACGTAATTACCGTTCACGGATACTGTTTATGGGTACTGTTCACGCACTAATGGCCAGCAATAAGAGGGTTTAAATGTGTAGTTATATTGAGAATGAAATTGAGATGTCTGGTCATATGGTTATTAATTCTAGAATATTGTGATTAGGTTCTTGATCGTTTTGTCACCCTAGCACTTGGGTTAAGCTTTCTGTTCTATGCGATTTAAGGTAAGTAAATTAGGTAATGCTCTTCGATTTTAAAGCGTACTTTAAATTGTTTTTGAGATGGTGGCAAGGTTTAAATTGATTTTAAATTGATTTTATTAACACCAAGCATGATTGATTTGAAATGGAATTATTTTTTGTTTTCATTGAGTAGAGTATGCCTACTTGGAATTTACTGAACTGCTCTGATAATTTGAGAATTTTTGTAAATTATGATTTTCTGTTAAATCCATGCCCACATGGAATTTTCTGGTTATTTTTGAAATTTGAGATTGATTGTGAATTACGGATTTCTTTTGTAAATTCTGCATGGTTTTGTCTCTGATATGGTCATGTTTTATTGTGCCCGCTAGTGGGAGGTTTATAAACGCTAGCACATGTCGACATGTTTACTGATAGGACCGGTTCATTCTGTAATCCTACCAATGGAATAATACATTGGTTATTACTGAAATCATGCCAATGGGATAAAACATTGGTTACTACTGTGCCATTTAGTGGGAGGTTTGTAAATGCTGGCCATGACTTATAGATGAGACTACTACTGAATTTTCTTCTACATTAACGGTTTATCATTGAACGCTTTCTATTGAACTGAATTTGATTCTATATTAATGGTTTATCATTGAACATTTTGTTATGGTAAACTGTTTATCAGGCATGCTAAAATTTTACTCACGGGCTATCCATATTTTTACTTACTGAGATATTTTATCTCATAATTTTCCTTGTCCACCATTTTAGGAAGTGAAGTCAAGGATGGGGAAAAACGAGGGGAGTGACGAGTTAGAAGGCTAGCCATCTTGTAAATTGAACATGGATTTTAGATATAAATCATGATCTTGTAAACAAGACTTTATTTGGAGATTTTATGATATCAGAGCAAATTTTAGAATTTTATCTTCAGATTTTGTGGTATGATAAGTACCAAGCCTTGTGCATTTGTGGGACTCTCTCACAAGTGTACGGTGTCTACCATGTCCCCGGATTTGGGTTCTGGGGTGTGACAGGCAACTTCATCAAAATTTTCATGCAGCTGCCTATTACTTGAATCTTGCTTTTTTCTATGATAAGAGAAATTTTCAACTAGAAAAGAAAAGTCATGAAAGGTTTTATGGATGTTGTGGATGCAAAAGTACCATCTCGGAGGTTTAAATTTTTGAATGAGTGTGAGTTATATGACAAAAAAATGGAAAGCTTTGGTCATGAAAATGCTCTTGAATCCTCAAAAACTATGAAACCCAATAAGATTTCAAATTTTCAAGTTTTTTTTTTTTAAAGATTGTAACACTTTTATTTAATTTTTCATGATATTTAACTTTTTTAACACTTGTACATGTTTTTTCTTTTTGTCTTTTCCATAGATGAGTGGTGGAAATATTTTGGATATAGTGCTCCAAATCTTAAAAAATTAGCAATACAACTCTCGAGTCAAACATCGTATTCTTTAGGGTGTGAAAGAAATTGGAGTGTATTTAAAAGAATACCCACCAAAAAGAGGAATAGATTGGAGCACCAAAGGTTGAATGATCTTGTCTATGTGCATTATAATTTGCACTTAAAATATAGGTATTTTATCTAGTCTATATAATAATTGTACCATATTAATAAAGTTTCATTCCTTATTATGCTATATTTTTGTTATGGTAATTTTATTTTTATCTTTAATAATAGGAATGATAACAAAATGAAGACTTGCTTTGATCCTATTGATTATGAAAGCAAAGACAATGTTAAGGAATGGGTCATGGAAGAAGATGTTTCTCCAATTTTTGATTATGATGAATTGGAAAATATGATTTATAATGATAAAATAATGCCAATATGTTATACAACTCAAAAAGAAGGTTAGTGAATAATCAAAACTTCTCTTTATAGTGTTTTTATTTTAAATTTATTATGTTATTTTGTCATTCTATGAATTATCTTATTGATTATGTGAGTTAGCTTCAAATTTTGATTTATTTTGTTGATTTTTATTTATTATATGTTTTTGCTTTTCAATTTTTAAGGTGGCACACATAATATTGAAGAAGAAGTGCAAGGTGATGAAGAAGGATTATGCCATATTGGTAGTGGAGTGGAGGAATTGACTTGGAGTCAATTGGTGAAGAAAATGATGATAGTTATGATAGTGAAAATGATTTTCATGAATGCGATGCTTGGTTTAATGAAGATCCCCCTCATTTAGGGGATAAACAATAAGCAATTTTAATTTATGCATCATTTGCAAATTAGTTTGAGTTTTTGGACTTATTTTTCATCTATATATGTGTAAAACTTATTAATTTTGAGATTTGTAATTGTATGATGCTTTTTTTAATCTATTTATTGAGTTTTTGAACTTATTTTTCATGTGTGTGTGTGTGTGTGTGTGTGTGTGTGTGTGTGTGTGTGTGTGTGTAAGTGTGTGTGTGTGTGTGTGTGTAAGACTTATTCATTTTGAGATTTGCAGTTACATGACACTTCTTTTTTATCTATATATTGAGTTTTTGGACTTATTTTTCATATATATGTGTGTGTGTGTGTGTAAGATTTATTAATTTTGAAATTTGTAATTGTATGACATTTTTTTTTTATCTATTTATTGAGTTTTTGGACTTGTAGTTGCTACAAATTGCAAAGGAAAAATGTAAAAACAGCAACATATTTCTACCAGAAAACTCAGGATTGCATTTTTTGGCAATTTTGCTTTGACCTGATCAGTCGATCAGTTAAATCAGTTGGACCGATCAAATCAAGAACTGGTGAGTAAACTGGTTTTATCATTGGTCCAGTTTTTAAACCATGATTTGTAGACATGAAAAAATATATGTTAAAATTTAAATATATTTAATTTAATAAAATCTTGGAAGTTGGGTAGTAAATTTTTAAAGAGATATTTTTTCTTTAATTAAAATAAATTTATTTATAAAATAATTAAATTATTATTAAAGTAAAGCGTATTTAAAGTCATTTAATAAGCTTCCTTTAATTGTAAATATGCCATTCATTTGGTGAGAAAAAGAAGGAGGAGGAGGAGGAGAGGAATAGAAGTAGAAGCCTTGATGAATCTCACAGTTTCAAGTTCCTATCAAGAAATAAAAGGTTTTAAAATAAATATTAAACCCCTTCAAATTTAGGTTTTTATTCTTTTAAATTCAATTATCAATCAAAAAATCATACTATACTATAAAACTTGAGTACATGCACTATAACACCCAAATCAAAAATTATTTTCATTGTAATTTATATTTTTTTTTTGTCACATAAATATTTGTTATTTGATTTTCAAAGATTTTTGTCACCGGATGCACTGTCTTAACTCATAAAACCCTAACGTCTAGATTATCCCTTCCTCGTCCTTCTGCCAGCTTGTCATTGTTGCCTCCCACGGCAAAGATAAAATGCAGCAGAGAAAACCAGAACTGCCCCAATAGACCCTGCTGCCATGATGGGCAAATTCAATCCCTTCTCTTCATCATAGATACTCTCAGGTATGTCCCTAGCCTCCCGACCTTCCTCTCCTTCAAGTCACCAATCACCTTTTCGGCCTCTTCAACTTGATTCTACAGTTGCAAGATCTTCCCTTACATGGCCCTGGCCTTGTTCTCAGATACCCTCAATTCTCTCTCTACCGTCTACTTCTCAATCTTCCCTTTCTGAAGTTTCACACCAGTTTCCTACGCCACAATTTCCAACTCCTCCACCTTCTTCTTGAAAACACCTATCTCTCTCCCCTTCTCATCAATTCTATCCTTAATCGCCTCCTCCGCCCTGAGTTTCTTGCTCTTCTCTTCCATCTCCCTTACTTCCAAATCCCCCATCTTCCTTTCAAACTATCTCATTCTTCTCACAATCAGCCTTAGCCTTTTTTAAGATCTCAATTTCCTTCTCCAAATCCTCAATTTTCAATCTTTTTCCCCCAACTCCTTTTTCAGTTTCCCCACCTTCACGTTCGCTTCCTCCCCCTCGCTCATGGCGTTAATCAAATCATGCTGCAGTCTTGCGCACTCTTATTCCAGCTCTACCGCCCTGGCAGCAATCGATTCCAAAAGCTTCTTAGTGTCATCTGATTGGTCCAGTTCCCTCTTCATATCTTCTAATCCTGCCTTCATCTATTCTTCCCTGCCTCTAAGTTGATCGAACTCCAAAGTTAGTTTCTTAATCTTCTCCTTGATTTTTGTAATTGCACCAAGCCAGAGGTCCTTCTTCAATCTGTGTTTTCACTTCGGATGAACCTGCAAAGCCTCGAGGTGGGTCCTCGGCGTAGACACTCCGATGCTTAAGTTAGCAATAATCGGGTCTATCTTTGGACAAATGAAAAAAGAGCTTTAGGATGGTTTCAATTACCTTTTTGACGTGACCCCTCGTGGGTATTTATAGGCCTTCGTGAGGTATCCACGTGGCTTGCTTAGCAGGATGATCGGAGTGTGACGTGTCCCTTAAAGAGATAAATTCGGGACCGGGGAATTGTGTGATAAATCAGGTGTGGGCATGCCTACTGTATTTATTGTGCAACCGTTTGACCAGAAGTGCTGGATTTAACTTCACTTCGGCTATTAAGGAATTGCTACAGTATGTCTGAGGTTAAAGACCTCAGACCTATCCTTACACTATTCCCCTTCCCAAAGTCATTCACTTGTGAATGATGTTGTCAGAGATAATGGGAGTAGTGCATAAATAAAAAGGAAGGGGGACAAAAATCTGTGTCTTCACTTCGGATGAACCTGCAAAGTCCCTAGGTGGGTCCTCGGCATAAACACTCCAATGCTTAAGTTAGCAATAATCAGGTCTATCTCTGGACTAATGAAAAGGAGCTTTAGGATGGTTTCAATTACCTTTTTGACGTGGCCCCTGGGGGGTATTTATAGGCCTTCGTGAGGTATCCACGTGGCTTGCTTAGCAGGATGATCGGAGTGTGACGTGTCCCTTAAAGAGATAAATTTGAGATCGACAACAAATTCGGGATCGGGGAATTGCGTGATAAATCAGGTGTGGGCATGCCTACTGTATTTACCGTGCAACCGTTTGACCAGAAGTGTTGGATTAAACTTCACTTTGGCTATTAAGGAATTGTTACAGTATGTCTGAGGTTAAGGACCTTAGACCTATCCTTAAACTATTCCCCTTCCCCAAGTCATTCACTTGTGAATGATGTTGTTAGAGATAATGGGAGTAATGCATAAATAAAATGGAAGGGGGACAAAAATATTAAAGATGAGTGATAGAAGTAAAAGTAGAAGTAAAAATACAAATAAAAATCTGTAACTCAAATGCATGTATGGCCATAGCTAATAGTGAAGTATGTGATAGGGGGTCATGTTAGCCATGCCCAAAATAAAATATGACCGGAGCGATTGTGGCCGTAGCCGTGGTAAAAATAATGATCGGAGTCAATGTGGCCAAAGCCATAGTAAGAAATGATGATCAGAGTCATAGTGGCTAGAGCCATAGTGAAGTTTGATGACTGGAGTCATAGTGGCCGGAGTTGTAATAAAAAGTAATGACCGGAGTCATAATGACCGGAGCCAAAGTAAAATACATAACAAGGAGTCACAATGGCCAGAGCCGAAGTAAAATATGTGACAAGGAGTCACAATGGTCGGAGCTAAAGTGAAACACTTGTAAGTTAAAAATATAATTATGAAAGTGAACAGAAGTGTTGAGGTGGGTTTAAGTGGGCCCGTTGATAAAGTCTGACGTAGGGTTATTATGTGACATGACAGCTGTTTGTTGAGAGACGTGTACAATTAATACGGGCTTAAAAAAGTAACTGTGACAGTCAGACAAACGGAGTGGGAAACGAATCGTTGAATTCAAACGGCTCCCGTTAGGGTTACACAGTTGAATTTGAAATGGCATGAATAAGGACCGTAAGATTAAACTAATCCCAGCCATTGAGAGTTATTTTTGCCCTGAGGTATAAATAGTCATTTTTCGATAAAAAGAAGTTTACTTTCATTATATTTTCTGCAAAATTTTTGTGAAAACTTTACTGTGTTCTTCTTATGCCTGAACTGCTGCATCATTTGTGGATTTCTACATCAAGTTTTCAAAACCGAAATCAAGTAATGTATATGATTCTCTAATTTTGATTTTAACGAAGTGTCACTCTCCTTTCTCCCTTTCTATTTTTGATTTTGAATCCTTTGAAGGAAGTTAGGGTTGGGAGTGAGAGTGATATTGAGTGTGCGTTAGAGTCTTCTTCTTCTTCTTCTTTTTTCTTTTTTTTTTTTTTTAAGGGTCCTAACTTCATTCCTCCTCCTACTTCATGTAGCAATTGAGGAGATGTCTTCGGAAGAAACAGTAAGTGTTGTAGGAAGTGAGGTAATGCCTCTGGAGTACAGTGATATGGACTCAAAAAGTAGTCCATCTAGTTCGGAAAGGACAGTGGAGGGGGTGGGAGGAGGTGAGGTAGTTGGGGTTGGGGAGGATAGTGTACCTATTGCTGTGGTAGAAGTGGAGGGTAGGAGAGAAAAGTGTTACGATGTAGATGCTGATATCGTAGGTGAGGTGAAACAATATGAGTCTGAACTCGGGACTAGGGATAGCCTGGGGTATTTGGTGAAAAGTTATGAGATTTCATCCTGAGTTCTGATTAGGCCAGCTAGGGTAGAGGAAAGGGCATGTTCTGCTCCTCGGGATCATTGGATGCCCATGTATGCCCACTATTTGGCAGCTGGGCTTAGGTTTCCAATTCCTGAGTTGCTAGTGGGTCTTCTCTTAGATTACAGTATAGGGTTGACATAGTTGGTCCCCAACGCTATGAGGGTAATAATAGGATTTTTAGTTTATTGCGGAGCTCAGGGGGTTAATGTGCCAATTGTAAATATGTTTAAGTATTTTTTTGTTTTAAAGGGGGGTAGTAGGAAAGATAAGGGGTGGTATTATTTCACCCATAAGGTAGCAAATAAGGAGAATAGGGCTTTATTTACTGCGGGTCCTTCATCCATTAAAGGATGGAAGGAAAAATTTTTCTTTATAGATGATACGGAGTGGGAGAGGGGGGATGTTGAGGTAGAAATGTTGTCTTTCTGGAAGGCTAAGAGAGCCAACCAGAATAAGTTTAGTTTAAATGAGGATGAGGAGGAAAAGGTGGGGAAGTTGGTGAGGGAGGGGGGGGAATTTAGTGAATATCATGTACCTCACTAGCACAGAATGCATAGAAGCTGCTGAGCTTTATGGGCTAAGCACTTTAAGTGAAGGTTTGTTTAGATTTATATTATAATATTTAATGTAGAGTATAGAGTTGTGTGATTGATACTGTGTTTTTCTGTTTTCCAGCTAAAATGGACAAGTTTTTGAGTGCTGCTAGAAGAGTGGCCATCCCCAAGAAGCCAAGGAAGAAGTCAAAGACTTCAACTAAGGGAGTGGATGAGAGGGGAGTTGGGAGGGAGGTAGTGCCTAGCACTTTAGCCGGGGTGGAGGAGGAGGTGCCAAGGCTGGAGTTGAAGAGGAAGGGTAGGAAAGAGGGATGGGCCCTACAAAGGAAGAAGAGGGTGATGGAGGAAGAAGAGAGGGGGAGCGAGGTTCCCCAGTTCGTGCCTCAATGTCCTCCTGTTGAGCTCGACCCTGAGCTGAGGGAGTCTGAAGAGGGGGCTGAAATACGAGCTCCTGGCAAGGGAAAGGGCCTCGTTCCCCCTTTGTCTTTTCAGAGCAGTCTGTTCGAGGCGAAGAACATGACGGCAGCAAGGAGATTTATCAATGCCACTTTCCCTGAAGTGGACAAGCGTCACGCACGGGAGGAAGCTTTGAGGTACTGTGGGGCTTCGATGGTGAAACATGTTTTGGAGGTATGTTAAGTTAATTTACTTGTAGTTGTTGGTGTGTGTTTTTTTTTTTTGTTTTTTTGTTTTTTTTTTTTAAACTTCTGCTTGAATTTCAAAGTGCGAGTTGGGTGAACGGTCTAGCCCAGGAGTTTATGGAGAGTGTGAAAGAGCGCTCCCTCTTGCAAAGGCAGTGTGACCAACTGCAAAAGGAGAAGGAAGAGCTGGAGAAGAAAAATAAAGAAATGCAAAAGGTGTTGGACAAGGTGGTTCTAGCTATGAAACAGCTAGAGTAGGAGAGGGCATCTCTGAGCACTAAGCTCGTCTTTGAGGAGAGCAAACGAAGAATCTCTGAAAGCGAGCATGAGGCTCAAGAGAAGGAAATAAAGCTAATGAAAGAGGTTGTGATGGAGCTAAAGAAGAATATGCAGCTGTTGGTGCACAATGGGATGGAGGAGCACATCAGCAACTTCGTTAGCTCCAGCTCATTTGACAGCATTGTCAACCTCTACCAATTGCCAACTGCCATCCTCGCCTTCATAGACTGTAGAAAGAAGGTGAAGGCTGAATATCCCGAAGTGGATATTACAAAAATCACCTTTGGCGAGCAAGAAGAGGGAGTGGAGAATGGTGAGAGTATGTCAACAAACTTCCGTCCTCAGATCAAACTGAGGTGGGATCGTGATGTAGACAGACGCACTGTTTTCCCTCCAAGCTTCAACTTCGAGTTCGTTGCAGTGGAAGAAGAAGAGGCAGAGGTAGAGGAAGATGAAATGGGGGCAAGAGTGGAAGGAACTAAAGTGGATGATAGTCAACCACCTCTACAAGTGGAGATTCATTCAATTCCTTCTGAGGATGAGCAGCCTCCTTTGCCAGACGAGCAGCAGCCAACACAACCACCTCTTCCAGCTGAGTAGTAGCCAGTTCAGCCACCTCCTCCAGCGAAGGAATAAAGATTTTTGTTTTTTGATTTTTCTTTGATATTTTGTTGTAATACCAGTAAAGCAATTTGTTGTAATACTTTTGTTATTTAAGTTGGATGATAATTTTGTTTTTTGAAATCATGTGTGATGTTTGCTTTACGTTTTTGTTGTTATATATAAGAACTGAAATTACTTCGGATACGTCTTGAGGGAAAGTAAATTATTTCAAAGATGACATAAAAAGAAGTTAACCACTACGGAGATGAACTAAAAAGAAGTAAACCACTTTAGATGAATTAAGAAGAAATAAATCACTTCAGATGAATTAAAAAGAAGTAAATCACTTCAGATGAATTAAAAAGAAATAAAGCACTTCAGATGAATTAAAAAGAAATAAAGCACTTCAGATGAATTAAAAAGAAATAAAGCACTTCAGATGCGAAGTGACATTCATTAATAGGAGTGAAGTTCAAGGAATGAGTGTTAAACAGATTGACCTCAGATCCACAGAATAAAAGGTAAAATGAATCTTACCAATCACGAAGTAATAGGCAGTAAGACATAGATCACTTGAAAGAAGTTTATTAAGGGTAAAATTTTTTCGAGTTATTGATATTCCAGACTCTAGGAACTCTCTTCCCTTCAACGTCTTAGAGGACATAGGCACCAGGATGTGGCTCCTCGGCCACCGTATAAGGGCCTTCCCAATTTGGGGCCAGTTTGCCAAAACGAGTTTCAAACCCTATTAGGCCAACCTTTCTGAGAACAAGGTCTCCTACTTTGAATGTTCGAGGGCGGACTCGTTTGTTGTAGAAGTTGGCTAATTTCTGCTTATATACAAGAGTTCGAAGCCATGCTTCTTCTCTGACTTCGGCAAGCAGATCAAGGTTTCCCGAAGCAATTCTCCATTTTGTCTTTCATCGAAATGGGTGACCCAGAGGCTTGGGACTCCTATTTCAATAGGAATGACTGCTTCAGTACCAAAGGCCAAATGGTAGGGTGTTTCACCTATTTCATGAAATTATATTCTTTAGAATATTCTTTACATATTATGCATATTTGATCTAGGGTAAAATCGCAAGTGAGGAAGTGAGATAGAATGAAAATAAAATGAAAGAAACTTGGGTTGGAAATAGTACCTGTGGTAGTTTGACTCGTTGTTCTGTATGCCCAAAGGACGTTGTTGAGCTCGTTTGCCCACCTGGCTTTGTGCTATTCCAACCTTGGCTTTATTCCTTCTAAGATGGCTTTATTAATAGATTCTACTATACCATTGGACTACGGATGGTAAACCAAGATGAACTGTAATTTGATCCCGAGGCTGGAACAAAAATCTTGGAATGAGGAGCAATTGAAATGAGTTACATTATCAGCCACAATCTGATTCGGGATCCCATATCTGCAAATGATTGAGCTGAAAACAAAGTTTTCGACCTTCTTGGAAGTAAGACTGGATAATGGCCGAGCTTCAACCAATTTCATAAAATAATCTATACCAACAATCAGATGGGTTACACTTTGATGAGTTTAATTTTTATATGCATTTATCTACCCTTTTTGAGCCTAGAATTAAATTTTATGGGTCTTTTGTAACTTAGTTTCACCTTTGTTTATATTAAATTCATTATTTGTAGGTGGAAATTAAGATAG